TCCCTCCATCCTACCTGTCTACTTTCAACAAGCAGCCAAAGGGTTCCATAGGGAATGAACTCGGGAGCTGTCCCTATTCCAGAGAACCCTGCAGAAGTCACCCACGCCTGCCTACCCAGCTCTTGGCTCTCCTGTAGTCTGTCTCTCTGCCCCCAGGCTGTGCTGGACACTGGTGGGTACAGGCAGTCAACCCTGCCACAGTGGCCTTGCCCAGTCACCACCTGACCTCCTTTCCTTCTTGGTCATGATCTGCTCAGGTGACTCGATGCAGGCAACGGTCTTTGTCCTGGTACCTTTTCCGCAGGACAGTGCTTGAATTCACACGGAGTAAGTGTTCAAAATTATTTGTTGACATCATTTCTGAAGTCAACAGTTCCTCATCAAACCCAAGACTCCAGCACCTCAGTATTTAGGACAAGGCTGCCACCTGGTGGTTATATTCCACCACAGCAGGCTCCTCCCTGCGTCCTGTTGACTTGAGAAGCCAGCTCTTGCCAGAAGTGTTCTAAAAACTCCTTGCTTTGCCATCTGCATCTCTGCGGAAGAAGAGGCACATATAAAGGGCACCCCAGGGAGAAGAGGAGGATGAAGACACGACTTACTCAGAAAGTCCAAAAGTGAGCACCCAGGGTGGACACGACATGGGCGAGGCTGATTGGAACCCCAACCTATATGATGGTTCAGACCCAATGAAACAGTTAGAGCCCTAAGTCTGTCTGAAGAAGAAGTGCCAACAGGCTTGAGAGGCCAGGGACCGAGGGGAGGCAGGCAGGGCAGCAGGGGGCAGGGCAGCAGGTGGCCGGCTTGGCCTAGTAGATGCTGCATTGTTTGTTCCTGTTGAAGCAAACTCTGGCCGTGCACCAGGGCACAGGGAAACTAGACAGTCTCTGAAAGAATGAGAAGGAAGGCTTCTGGGGGTCCGTGCTTCCCAGTTTGAGCAGCTCCCATCCCGCCTGCCATGTGTCAGGTGTCGATCTGGTGTTGAACCTGCGTGTCAGGGGCTTGAGATGGATGCTGGCTGAGTGCAGGTTTAGAATCACAGCGCATGGCAAACCTAAATAAGAAATGATTGGCAGATCGGATCACGTGGCACACGTGAGCGGCCTCTGCATCTGTATCGGTGGCTTTCCTCGTCCCTGTGACCAGAGGCCTGACAAGAAACCACTCAAGGGAGAAACGTTGACTTTGGCTCAGGGTTTGCACGGACGGTCCATCAGGGCAGGAAGGTGCGGCAATCGGAGTGCGAGGTGGGCACGGTGCCCTTGGGAAGCAGCAGGATGGGTGCTGGAACTCGGCCCCACTTTCTCCTCTCTCCCTCTGTATTTGGCAGAAGGCCTCACCCCATCTAGGTGTCTCCCAGATTATTCCAATCCAGTCAGGTTTGACCACAAACGTTCATTACACTATCCCATAAATATGTATGCACGCGCACCCACCCCCCACCCCACCCCCACACACAGAGTTTAATTCCAGCACTGGGGCTATAGGTATAGGAGAGTCATTGGTGCTCACTGGCCAGCCAGTCAAATCAAAAAGCTTCAAGTGTCACCAGGTTGTCCAAACTGTTCCTAAGGAGTGTGTCTTCTCCTTCTACCCATAGTAACCATAGTTTGATGATGACCTGTTTTGTTTTTTTCTAATTTGGGGGTATCATATGTAGAATTTTTGTTCTGATTAAGAGCTCCTCAGCTACAGATGAAACTTACTGTTTTTCTATGGGATATCTATTTCTTTTTATGTGAGCTCCATATTGTTCTACAGTTTTCCTTATGGGTTTGAATAGTCTTTGTAAACTCGGGTATATTTTGAATAATCCCTTCAGCATTCTTTAAAAAGTGTATATATGTATGTGTATATATACATACATATATATACATATATATATATATATAATGTGTATGAGTGTTTGCCTTCCTATATATGTGTGCCTGGTGCTGGTGGAGGACAAAAGAATGTATCAAATCCCTTGGAACTGGAGTCACAGGTGGCTGACAGCTGCCATATGGGTGCTGGGAACAGAGCCCAGGTCCTCCGAGAGAGTAAGTGTTCTTAACTGCTGAGCCATCTCTCTAGTGCCCTTAGGAGCTTGTTAACGATGGAACACCTCTCTCCATTTCCTTAATGCCTACTACAGGTTAACTCTCTGGTGTCTCCTTTATAAAAATAAACTTTTTTTTTTAAAAAGTTTTTTTAAAAAGACTTTCATTATATCTATGTGTGTATGTGTTGTATATGTTTTTTTAAAAAAAGACTTTTTCTTAAAAAAGTCTTTTTAAAAAGACTTTCATTATATCTATGTGTGTATGTGTTGTATATGTTTGTGTGCATGTGCATGTGAGTGCGTGTCTGCACGCAAGCATGTGTATAGACGGGTACAGGTGAGGGGTGTTAATGTGGAGGCTACAGGTCAATACTGAATGTCTTCTGTGCTCTTTCCACCTTGTTTTGTGAGACAGGCTCTCTCGCTGAACCTAGGACTCAGCACTCGCCAGGCTGGCCAGTCAGTAGGCCCTGGAGATCCAGCTGCCGCCACTGCCCCAGGGCTGAGGTCACAGGTAAGCACCTGCCTCATTTGACTTTGCACATGGGCACTAGGGATGGAACGCAGGCCTTTGTCCTTGCACAGCAAGTATTTTACCCTCCCCCCCGACACACCCATGACTTATTTCTGTAAGGAAGAATGAGATAATCTCCAATTTTATTTTTCAGAGTTACCCAGTTTTTACTTAACTTACTTTAACTTTTGTTTTCAGGGATTGAAGTCAGGACCTCTCACCTGCTAAATCCGAGCTTGACCCTAAGCCACGCCCACAGGCTCCAACTTGACATAAACCACCTTTACCCTATACCAAATGTGTGTGTGGATCCTGGCCTTCCTCCAGGGCTCCACTGTGCTGTCTTCGATTGCTCTTCTCCAGACTTTCCCTGGTTATCCTGGGATGTGACTAGATCAGGGCTTCCCAGCAGCAGGTCTACCCAGTCAGGCAGGATACTCCGGCTCTCCTGCAGGCTGTGACTAGCAACATCTCTGTCTCTATCCACTAGGTGGAAATATAACCTCCCAGTCAGGACAACCCAAAATACCTTCCCCCGGGCCCAGTGCTTGCTAGCTGGTGACTGAGTCCTCAGTATCATTTTACTCAGTGGCTGTTTCCAGTTCCACACTGATATGTTAATTAGGATGAAAATGAATTGATGGAATAATTTAGACACCCTTATTACATTTAATATATGACATGACTGAATTTAGTCTCTACTATATTTAATCTTCCTATCCCAAACCCACACATTTCCTCCCATTTATTCACAAGGACATAGAAGTGTTCTCCAAAAGGACGTTAGATTTCTTTTAATATACAGGCTCTTACTTAACTAAGTTCATTGCTAAGTGTTTCTCCTTTCTTTCCTACTTTTTTGTTTGTTTGTCTGTTTGTTTTGAGGGAAGGTTTCTCTTTGTAGCCCTGGCTGTCTTGGAACTCGCTCTGTAGACCAGGCTGGCCTCAAACTCACAGAGATCCACCTGCCTCTGCCTCACAAGTGCTGTGCGCCACCATGGTCTGGCTCCACATCCTTTCTTACATGAGATCATTTCTTCCAATATTATATTTTCTAACCAGTCACTAATCAGAGAACTATTTAATCTTTTTCTTTCAGACAAGGTACCATGGAACCTAGGCTGGCCGATCCTCCTGCCTCCACCTCCACCTTTACTTATTTTTTGAGATGAAGTCTCTGTCCTGTTTAACTAGCCTGGAACTTGTGGGTTCAGGTGACACTCCTGTCTGAGTATCTGGGACCACGGTTAAACGCTGCCAAGTGCAGCAAGATAACATACTTCTTTGCTAGAGATGCCCCCCCACCGCCCCCACCACCACACACACTCTCATTGTCTATCAAGAGTTTGTTACTGAATCAGCATGGTGGTTAATTCTGACAGTTCCATTGCCCAAATCTATCAAGATGGCTATGTGGTTTTTCTTTGGCCTATGATATGCCTGGCAGGCATATAATGATAACATTCATTCATTTACTCATTTAAAAAAAGATTTCATTTTATTTTATGTGTGTAAGTATTTTGCCTGCATGTATGTCTGTGCATCACGTGTGTGCAATCCCCATGGAGGCCAGGAGAGAGAGCTGGATCCCCTGGAAACGCAATTACAGACAGTTGTGAGCCGCTATCTGGAATCGAACCTGGGTCCTCTGGAAGAGGAGCAAGTGCTCTTAACCGCCCAACCATCTCCCAAGTCCCTCATTCACTCATTTTTAGATGGCACAACTCCACTTGGTTGTACTGTCCACTACTGTCCTTTTAAAATTTCTTGGACATCATCTGCTAACATTTTAATATCTCATTTTTTACATTAATATTGAGAATAAGGCTGGCATTAATTTTTAATTAATAATTAATTTTAGCGGCATCTGTTAACTTCGGAATCAGCAGAGGCTTGCTTGGTGAAAACAAACTTTACTTTCATCTGTTGTATTTAGTATGAATTCAGTCTTTAGAACAGCTAAGTCATCACGTAGAAACACAGGCCCCTCTCCTGACACCCAAAGCCACATTCTGTCCTCACATTAGACTTCTTGAAGGCCAAATAAATGTAAATATATCTTTGGAATGTGATGTTTTTGTGAAAAGGGTTGAAAAGTGGTAAGAGCAACAGCCATGACGCTCAAGGAAGACCTCAGCTTTTCCTCATCTTGGGCCTTTCCATGACCCACTGCCATCCATTGCCATCACCCAGGATGACTCCAGAGCTACACCACCTTGCTGAAAGGACTCTGCACACACTAGTGACAAGTGGACTCCCGGGGTGACATGGCAAACCGTGGCCTTTCTCTTCTCCACTCCCCGGTTGTACACTGTCTCCCCAGTGCACAGATTCCACAGGTAAGGACTATGCCCCCGGAGCAGCTCCAGGCCAGGGTGAGCAGAGGAGGGATCATGAGTCAAGAGGAGCTTCCACAGGACAGGATGCCACAGAGGCCCTTCCTACCTGCGGTGCTTCTCATGCGGCTCTCAGTGAGCTCGGAGATGGCGCCGGAGGTGGAGGTCTTCTTCAGTCGCACTGCCCCGGCCGAGGCGGTTCCAGGTTTGTTGAGCATGTCCTCACTGCTGGCCCTCTTGAGCTAGAGAGAAGTTGGAGGGATGTTGAGAGGACAAAGACACAGCCAGGAACGGGGTACCCACCAGTGCCCAGTAGTTTAGAGAGAATCACAGGAACTGCATGGAGGTGCAAAGGCTCTTAGCCCAACCCCTTATAGCACAGAACAGCTGTTAATCGGACAGAGGCGAAGAACAGTGCTTATCCTGGACCAGGAAGTCACACTCAGCCCTCAGTGAATAAGCCAGGGGGCTAAAGACATTATAATATGGCCTGCTGTGTGTGCTCTGACACACTAACACTGACGTTTAAACCTATAAAACCTAACACAATGACTAGAACACATGAGGAAGAAAAACCTCAGATGACTCCATCAAATTCCTGCATTCAAGATAGAAATAGCTCCTTTACCAAAACGTGCCCAGGGCCCTGTAGCTTGAGCTCAACAGTCACCCGGTTCAGCACAACGTAACCATTCATGTATGTGCTCATGGCATTCAGTCCCAAAGTCTTAACAGTCCAAAAGTCTGAAGTCTTTGCTGAGATCCAGGGTACTCTCTCTAGCTATTGTTCTGTGCACATGTTCATGTTTGTGCACGAGAGTGCACATGTATGTGGAGGTCAGAGGACAACCACTGTGCACTTTGTTTCTGTTGAGGGGTCTCTCACTGGCCTAGGATTTGCCAAGTCGACTAGACTGGTTCATCTTGGTTGTCAAGTTGACACCCTCAGGAAGCAGGGCCCTCGACTGGCCCATCAGCATGCGTGTAGAGCATCAGATGGTCCACAGGCATGTTTTTGGGGGCATTGTCTTGATTGCTAGCTGATGTAGGAGGAGCCAGCACACCACGGGCAGTGTCGTCTTTATTCTGTACATGGCCCTGGGCTTCATAAGGAATCTAACAGAGCAAAGGCCAGGGAGCAAGCCAGCAAGCAGCATTCCTCTACTGTCTCCGTTTGAGGGTCCTGCCTGCAAGAGTTCCTGTTCTAGTTGAGCTCCGGCTTAGGACTTCCCTCGGTGATGGACTACAAGCTGTAACATGAAATCAACCCTTTCCTCTTCAAGTTGCTTTTGGTCACGGTTACTATCACGGTTGCTTATTACTATCACAGCAACAGGAAGCAAACCAGGGCATCTGGCTGTCCAGCAAGCCATCGCGGTCTCCCTATCTTGGCCTCCCCAGCATGGGGACCCCTACCACCTGCCTCATTGTTTTGTGCTTTGTTTTGTTTTGTTTTGTTTGCACGTATTCTGGAGCTCAAACTCAGCTGGGTCCTCCTGCACAGCAAGCACATTACTGACAGCCATCTTCCTACCCCACCCTGCTGTCTGTTTTTCTGAGACAGAGCTTTCTTTCTCTGTGTAGCCCTGGCTATCCTAGAACTTCCTCAAACTCGGAGATCCACCTGCCTCTGCCTCTCAAGTGCTGGGATTAAAGGTGCATGCTGCTGCCACCACCCAGCTCTTTTTATTTTTAATTAGTTAATTTTTTTTAAAGATTTATTTATTATGTATGCAGTGTTCTGCCTGCATGTATGTCTGCAGGCCAGAAGAGGCCACCAGATCTCATTACAGATAGTTGTGAGCCACCATGTGGTTGCTGGGAATTGAACTCAGGACCTTTGGAGGAACAGTCAGTGCTCTTAACCTCTGAGCCATCTCTCCAGCTCCAGTTACTTAATTTTTTATTTCTTGTGTAGGAGTAGTTGCCTGAATGTGTGTCCATGCACCACATGCGTGCTTGGTGCCCATAGACATCAAAAGAAGGCATTGGAGCTCCCGGAACTAAAGTAATAGATAGTTGTAAGTCACCATGTAGGGGCTGGGAATAGAACCGGGTCCTCTGGAAGTGCAGCTAGTGCTCCTAACCTCTGAGCCATCTCTCCAGGTCCTTTGCAAAATCCACAAGTAGAAACCTCTACTATACAGTAGCACGAGCATCTCTAAAGGGAAGGGATGGGAGGACAGAAAGGTTTAAAGACCAGACCGAAGCAAACCAAAACCCAGCAAGGCAGACACAAACCCGTGCAGCGCCATGGCTGTCATCTGGGCTTCTGCTGGCATCACTTGGCCTCCCACAGGCAGCCCAAGCTCTCCAGTTCTGACAACTTGAGAACGGAACTGTGCCTCTATCTTGAACTTGCTTCACCGGGTCCCTGCATCTTTTCTCAGCAGAGTCTCTCCTATCCCGAGGTCTCTAGCACCATAGACGTTTCACCTTTACAACTCCCCACAATCAACTTAGGAGCTCTGTGCAGCGACTTTGACCCTATTACACATGGCTCAGTGGGCTTCCTAGAACCTTGGTACTAGTCTCCAGGACCCCTTCACTCTGGCATCTTCTGTGTCCACAAAACCAGCACCACCTGGATGACAAGTTCAGCGGCCAGCTTGAGAGGCAGCCTGGCCCTTTTGGACAGCTGCAGCAACAAAACGCCCTGAAGGCTCTACCTTTTCAGCACTCTAAAATGAGTTCACACTGCTACGCCCTGGAGCTCTCAGATGAGTGGGGTCTTCCCTTCATGGCACTTGCCTATTGTCCAACTTGTCTGAACCCATCCATCCTCAACTCTAAGCAGGTTCAAACTACTTCCCTTGCAAAATGCACATCTTCACATCTTTCTGCTCTCATTGCACATCCGGGTAGATGCAGAAGGCAATAACCAGGCTGTAAGGAGCCAGGTACTCCCCTAGCCTGCCTTTAGCAACTCAGTGCCAGCAGCCATGTCCTTACTTGCCACCAAATGTGACACATTTCCACTCTTGCCACGAGTTGCATACCCTTCTAAGGCCTCCACCACAGTGGCCTCCTTTCTCTCTGTCTCTCTCTTGTCTCCGCTCAGAGGTGGCCTTTCGCTCCCACCCCCAATAAATCTCTTGCCTGAGATCTGTTGTGTGGTATGATCTTTGTGGCATTCTTTGTCCCAAGTCTGCCAAGATACTCTTCCTCTGAGAGACTCTAACACAGGGCACAGCTTGCACGTTGTGCTGGCTTAAAAATCTCTTCTGTCAAACAGTTAGCACATTTGTTTGAATTTAACCTTGCTCAAGTTTTCAGAACGTGGGCAAAACGCAGCCAGATTTTCTTGCCAGAATATAACATAAAGGTCCCTAACCCAAATCCTAATAGAGTCCCTGTTCCTCTTTGAAACCTCATAAGCAGGGTCCTTACTGTCTACATGCCTGCCAGTTTCCTGGTCTCTGAACTCCCCACCAGACTGGCTTACTAAGCTTGCTTATAACATTCGATGGCTTCTCCAGCTCACATCTCCAAACTCTTCCACATTCCTCCTACAAAGCAGTTCAGAATGCCTAGGAGCCACATGGTCAGGTTCCTCATTGTAACCCTACTTCTCAGTACCAATTTTACGAACAAATTACATTTTCATTGCTGTGACCAAATAACTGGCTAGAGGGAAATTAAGAAGGGATTTATTTTGGCTCATCGCTTGGGGGACACAGTCCATGATGGCTGGAAAGGACCAGCGGCAAGAGGCTGCTTGCTTATTCCTCAGCAGCTCCGCGTGGGGAGGGGAGCATGGTGGGAAGAGGTGGAGCTCAGCTGCCTCTCTCCTTTCTTACCCAGTGGGCCTTCCTTCCTCAGTTAATCATTTCCAGAAAAGCCTTTACAGACATACCCAAAGGTGTGTGTCTTGTTAATCTCGTGAGTGCTCTAAGCACTAGAAGTTGTCCCCTCCATGTGCAGGTACACAAGCTTGGTTGCAGTAACACTTGCCCAAGATGTAGGGCATAAAGATTTACAAATGACCCCACCATCCCTTGGAAAGGAAGCAGCGAGCTACTAGTGTAGGAGGCATAAGCTGGGAGAGCATCCGATTTGGTTTCTACCTCATGTTCTTTCTGCATTTTTGGCTTTGTTTCCTGTTACCCAAAGGCAGCTTGGCCCTGTCTAGGTTTCTGGCTTGCTACGGAAGATCCCCATGAAGGTATGTGCTCAGGTCGGAGTGTGTAGTAGGTGCTCTCACTTAGGGTGCCTTCTTTAAGCTGCTGAGCACCCGAGCTCACAAAGGAACAGGTTTAAATGCCTCACTGATCTAAGTAACTAAGAAACTCCTCTCCATTTCACAAAGATGAGAGAAAAACCTCAAAGCTCCATCATCAGCTGCAACAAAATCCAGTCTCTAGTAATAGGTAACTCTTTCTGTTTGTGGTCCTCAAACACAAACTGCTATCAATTGTGGCCAGAGTTTGTTTAAATGCATACACCTGACTAGATCTCTTCTTTTTCTTATTTATTTATTTATCTATTTATTTATTTAATGTGCATTGGTGTTTTGCCTACATGTAGGTCTGTGTGAGGGTGCTGGATCCCCTGGAACCAGGGTTATAGACAGTTGTGAGCTGCCATATGGGTGCTGGGAATTGAACCTGGGTCCTTTGGAAGAGCAGCCAGTGCTCTTAACCTCTGAGCCATCTCTCCAGCCCCTGACTTCATCTCTTCTTGAACTCAACATCAACCACCAAGTTGCTGAGTCCCCAGGTCTGAGGCAGACATTTCTAGGGACTGTGACAATGTTTAAAGCAGCCTGTTTGTGGAAATCGAATAGGACTCACCTCGTAATTTTACATTATCTGGTAGCTACATTCAAAAGTAAACTAAAGCAAATAAAGGACCTTATGGCAGCCTGGAAGATGGCTCGCTGGGTAAAGTGCTTGCTGCACAAGCCTGACAATCACCTGCCAGAGCCATGGTGGCAGGAGAGAACAGACTCCCCTCCAAACTCCACACACCTGTCCCAGGACCAGCATCACCATCACCACCACCATGACAATAATATATAATAACAATAATTTTTTTTTAAATTAAACTTTATACAGCGTGTGGTGGCACATAGCTTTAATCCCAGTATTTGGGAGCCAGAGGCAGGCAGATTTCTGTGCGTCTGAGGCCAGCCTGGTCTAAACAGTGAATTCTAGGACAGCCATGGCTACATAGAGAGACCCTGTCTTAGAAAAGAAAAAGACAGATAGACAGACTTCATAGGCAATGGTTATAGGTGATGATTATGTCAGTAAAGTCCCTGCTGCACAGGCCTGAGGACCTGAGCTCAGAACCCCAGCATCCACATAAAAACGCAGCAACATCCTTGGGAGAATAGAGACAGGTGGATGCCTGGAGCTCATTAGCCAGCCAGCCTAGCAAACTAGTGAGCTCCTGGTTCAATAAGACTGTATTAACATATAAGGTAGACAGCAATCTAAAGAGATCCCTGATGTTGACCTCTGGCCTCCACACACACATGCATGCACACCCACATGTGCAGCCAAACAAACACTCATACAAACAAGGGAATTTATTTATTTTTAAATGAATATATAAAAATAGTATCAATGTGATCAATATAAAATGCTCATAGTCATTTAATGAAGAGATATTCTGAGAAATGCATAGCTAGGCAATTCTTTCATGGTGTAAACATCACAGAATGTACTTCCACAAACCACTGCACAATAAGCTATACAGTATATAGAGAGATTATAGAGATAGTATACATATATGCATGTATGTATATAGCGATATTGTTTCTGGGATCATGATAAATAAACAGCACAAGATTAAATCAAGACAAGAGAAAGGACAAACTCAGCAGATGCGGTCAACAGCACCTATGAACGAAACACCTGCAGCCTCACACAGCCATTTCCCAGCACACTTCTGTCTTTGTAAGTAGGCATGCTCCAGAATAGTTATTAAAAGCACGGCAAATACATAAACCAGGAACACAGCTGGTTATCAGCTTTTCAAACTTTATCATACTGATTAGATAGCTGGGTATGCCTTTCCCTCATATGACAGGCAAAGCAGTCACACAAACATGTTACCACACACACATGAGCAATGCACTGTGCTCTGACCTTACAATGGCTATGCCACTAGGCTATGGAAAGTCCTCAACCCCACTATGATGTTATAGAGCCATTGCACATGTGTCCATCACTGGCTGAAGCATCATCTTATGACTCATGGCTGTTTATTAGTGGGCTCTCCTGCATTTTGGGTACTAACTCTTTAAACCTGGCTTAAGAGCATAGCTCCACTTTGGCCATATTCTAAGGGCTCCATTGCCACAGGTGGCTAGGTGCAACCATTTTGAGAGCATTCTATAGGAACTATCACAGAACACTGCTTAGGACTCAAGACTCAGACAATGAGCCCATGCTGGAAGACTGCACTCCTTCAAGCATGTAGTACTGTTACAGTACATGCTGGGAAGATTCGATGTCCCCAAACAGGTCCCTAGCTGCAAGGCCCAGCAGCCTGTGCAGGGCCAGCATGGGACCAGCATCTAACTACTCTCAGTGATGGGTTTTTCTTTCTTATTTTTCTTTGTTGTTCTCCTTTCCTTTTATTAACAAATAGGAAATGGCCAGGTGGTGGTGGCACATGTCTTTAATGCCAGCACTCGGGAGGCAGAGGCAGGTGGATCGCTGTGAATTCAAGGCCAGCCTGGTCTACAGAATAAGATCTAAAACAGGCACCACACAGAGAAACCCTGTCTCAAAAAACAAAACAAAACAAAAATAAAAAAAAAAAAACCAATAGGAAATGAAGAAAAAGGCAACTTGGCCTTCTAAGAGATGCAGGAGGCCAGCAGACTGGCCATATCCTTCATACATATTCTGGACCAGGCTGGGCATCAGGAGATGACACAGAAGCAGTGGGCAGGGTGGTGAGAGACCAGCTAGAGAGTCCAGTCCTCGGACCAGCCTCTCTGAGATGCAGTCTTGAACCCTTGTCCCATGGAGATGTGGGAACCTTAGGATATATTCATTTTACCATCATCCTTGGACTTATCCAAACTATACTCAAAAATAGTAGGAAAAAACAGCATCTGTTCAGAAAATGTAGATTATTTTCCTCATCCTTATTCCTAAAACATTACAGTGTAACAGCTATTTATGTTCAATTAGACTTTATAAGTAATCCAGAGATGCTAGAGGCATCCAGCGCTCGCAGGGCTCGCAGGTTCTATGAAAATACTACCCTGTTTCAGATGAGGACCTAGAACACCCACAGGTTCTATGAAAATACTACCCTGTTTCAGATGAGGCCCTAGAGCACCCACAGGTTTTGGCATCCACAGGAATCCTGGAAGAAAATGCCTGTGGACAGTGAGGTACAACTCAGATTTCTTGTCTGCTCATACAAACTCAAACCAATGTTTTGTCGACTGTAACCAAGTGAGCTCTGACTCACAGCCTTGGGTCCTTTGTTGCGGCTGGAGTGATGTGGCCTGTTGAGGCCAGAGCATGCATGCTGCTGCTTGAATACCAAGAAGAAGGTTTACAGCAGCATCCCTGCCTGTTCTTCCTGCAGCTCCTGCAGCTCAGGCAGTATCTGAAATTAGGGATTCAGCTCGATTTTGGGTGGATTTGATTCCGTTTTCTATTTGTGAACAGTTAAGACATCCACATCCATTTACTCTCAAACATTACCGTGTTGACTAGTCCAGTCAGGGCTATAGGGATATTTGCTATAGGTTCCAACTTCCCTATCGGCTTCAAAGTTTTCACTGGGGAAGGAAATCTACTTGCTTTCCTGACCATCACCATTTCCTCCTCTTCTCTTCTGCTCTCTGGAGTTTCAGTGATCCACTGCCCACCCTCCGCTGGAAAGGACAGGGCTAGTAAGATGCAGGCATAGTTCAAGTCCTCCTACCCCCTTTCCCAGCCTCTAGTATCCTTGTCATAATATCAGACCAAGAAAGCTCATGGCTCAGAATGGAGAACAGGGAGCTACCACATGAGTCCGGGCTTTTCCTTAACACTTTCCTATGGCAGAAGCTTCTGAAGCAATGACCTTTGCTGTTGGAATGGCCAGCATCACACTGTTCCCAGAAACACTCTTGTACCTTCCTTAAATATCGTCCTGACACCCAGCCACTCTGTCTGTCTTGGTATAGTAGATCTCACACCTGGGCCCAGCCAGGTAAATGCGTGGAACTAGAAAATATTATCTCGGCCAGGTGGTGGTGGTGCACGCCTTTAATCCCAGCCAGCACTCAGAATGCAGAGGCAGGTGGATCTCTGTGAGTTTGAGGCCAGCCTGGTCTACAAAGTGAGTTCCAGGATAGCCAAGACTACACAGAGGAATCCTGTCTCAAACAACAACAAAAACAAACAAACAAACAAACAAAAAGGAAATTATTAAACAAAAAATCAAAATATCAAACAAAAATCTTGAGTGACATAATCCAGACACAGAAAGACAAACAGAGCTAAAGTTCCTAGCTCCAAATATTCTGTACCTTACTAAGTCGAGACTCAAAGGCCAGCGAGGTTGAAGACTTGGAACTCTTCATGCCGGAAGGGGTCCCAGGGAGGGGCCGAGTGCGATCAGGGCCATGGCTGCCTGCTTTGGCAACTGGACTCCAGGGCTTGGTGGCACTCCGCATGATGTCCTGGGGAGACCTTCTCTCTGTAGAAGGGTAAAAAGGAAGACACTTGTTTCCAAAACAATACTTGTGAGTGACATGATAAAGCTTTGCAAACTCCATTCACCAAGCTTACAGTTGCTACCACAGAGTGAGTGTTAGGATTTAGCCAGGTATAGAACACTCTGTTCAACCTAAGATGCTACTTTTGCATGCTGCTCATTTTTATACCTCTGAACAGGTGTTTACCAATTTATTATAATGTATATGCAATATGATTGATATTCTGATATTGCTTTTCAGTAAATGATACCTTATTCTTGTTACAGACATATCTGTAAACACACACATGCACGCACGCGCGTGCGCACACACACAATCTAGCAGCTTGCATCAAGATATAAATGCCCCCGAGCTTTGCAGCTTTAGAGCTATCAAAACAATCTCCTTAATTTTTAAACACATATAAATGAATTATGGAGAGTTAAATTTCACAGAAATACAAATGACTTCTTTTTGATAAAAATGGATACCATTTAAAAATTAATGAAGTGCATTTTAATTGGTCAGACCTGACACGCAGGGTTATTTCCTTAGTTAAATAATTTATGAAAGAAAAAAAAATCATTCAAAGTATCAGACTGCAAGGCTAAGTTATGCACATCTTTAATCCCAGTACTCTGGAGACCAAGGCAGATGCGTCTCTGTGAGTTCAAGACCTGTCTGGTCTACATGACAAGTTCTAGGACAGCTAGGGCTATGTAGAGAAATCCTGTTTCAAGGCGGGGGGCGGGGGGGGGGGGGGCACGGGAGAGGGAGTAGCAGACTGGAGCTAAAGACCTAGGAGAAAGCTTGACTCTAGGGACAGAAGAGCCAGCAGCCCAAGTCCAGTCATCAGCTGTCATTCATGACCCCTTGAATCCTCCAACCCTCAGCCTCGCTGTCAACAACGTCTCAAAGCTGGATCAAAAGTTCCAGTATCTTTGTACAGCCACCCTGCCTCTGTCTATCCCTGCGGACTCTGGTATGACAAGACACCAAACCCCAGTGTTCTATCCTCTCAAAGGACACCCACAGATGACAGGCAATTCCGGAAGCCACTCTCTTATGGGGCACAAAGGCTCTGGCTAACCTAGTTAACTCTAGCTGGTGCCAGAGTGGAGGGTCTCCTCTGCCTCATAACATCCTAGGACGCTCTGCAGCCCAGGTCAGGCTGCCACCACCTCATGCTCCTGTCCCTTCCCTGACCGGAAGAAACCATCTCAGCAGACAGTATCTGTCTCTCCACGAGTCACTGGTTCCTCTTCCTGTTTAAGCCAAATGATTACATAGAGACATGTGTCCTATCTAGCAGCAGCTATGTGGATGTGGCTAATGATTAGAGATTCAGCAGTACGGCTTGAGGAGGTGCATATGCATAGCATGAACCAGGCCCTAGGTTCCATCCCTAGAACACGAACACACACACACACACACACACACACACACACACACACACACACACACACACGCACACGCACACGCACACGCACACACACACGCACACAACACACACACATCTGAGTTCATTATTGGTAAAAGAAAGGAAAAAAAGAGGGCTACTATTTGTTTTTCATAATTTTTCCTAAGGAATGGTATATGATTTCATTACATGATTCACTCAGAACCTTCTCAGTCTCAGCATGGTTCCAGGTCTTGTGGTTTCTTAAAAATTCAGTATTAAAAAAAAAAAGGAGCTTATTGCCAATGTATTTTGCTGATGTTTAGCACTGATTATTTTTCTTTCTCGACCCATGCTTTTTCTTTCTGGTTTCCACAGCAACAGTGAAAGAACTTAGGTTAAGACCTGTGCAGTGACTAATTTCAATGGGATGCTCTCTCCCTTAGTATAGAGTGAACTAACGCAGTCCAAACGATTCAAGAGAATCAGTGAATTTTGCCCCCAACCACAAGATACCCAGGACCATGTCAGACTGACTCATGCAGGTCATTTTAATAAAATATCCACTTGACCAACATCCCCTTTTATGCTCTTAGAACTACTTAGAAATGAGCACTGTAGGGCTTACTGTCTGAAAACACTAGGTGTATGCTTTCCAAAACCTGCCAAGGTTACCCTTAAAATAAAAATACCTTTAATCTACTCCCCAGAAAAGAAAACTATGAAGCGAGAAGCAGCAGGAAAAGGATGGACATTTTCCCTGTCAATCATTCTCTTGACATTTTAGGAGGACTCAATCAGTTAATCAATATTGATCCAAATTCAAATATATAAGCTCCGCTCTTAATTTCTGGAACAGAGCTGATGGGCTGGATGGAGTTTAACTTTTTTTTTTTTAAGTCAGTAGGTTTCTTGCTGTGTTTTAAAATTCTCTGGTCACTTCTTGCCATATCACTTTATGTACTCTCCTCAGATGTTCTGAATTTGATAAAGTTGTTCACAAATAAATGTCCCCTGGTAAGGCATCCACACTACCTTCTCTGAAAGCCTGTCATTCTGTTCCCTTATATCGTCTTCACTGGACTCGGTTCTCCCTGCTGTGCTTACCCACCTGCTAGCCTCTTTCCTTCCAAGTCCATCTCTCAGAAGTCAAAATTCTCAATAATGAATCATTCATGTCCTACCCGCCATAACCAAGAGTCATTTCCCATGATGGGAGCAGAATATCAAAACTGGCAGTTTAGCGATAGGAACCACCATTCTTGTCCTTGGCCGTCAAGCCAACAATGTCTTTGGTCTTGTCCTGGCTAGAGGCCAGAAATGCCAGAAGGAGGCTCTGTTTCCTGGTCTGGTTTCCTATCAGTTTTCTTCTCCTTTTACACAACTGGAATGAGCCCTATTGCCTAGAAACTATACGTGAAGACATAATTGAAACCAGGAAGCATATAGACACCTCATAGGTAGGCCAACTGGACTGACCAGCTCACCTCCCAGTGCAGTTTCTGCTCTAAGTTCTACAAGAACCCCTTAGCCTAGCAGCTTGATGGTACCCCCCCATTTTCTGGGACTCTCTCCTGCTATACAGGAGCTCTGCCTTCCTTTTTTCTCTTAAGGTCCCACCTAAAATCCTATGCTAACACTGCTTTCTAAACTCAACCTCCCATTATCTGTGAATTTCATTCTTTGAGTTCATGAGAAAAGGGAACCGGAAGCCATTGGTGAAGGATAGCTCTGCTGTTCATTGGTCTGTCTGGTACCTTAGCTCTGCAAACAAGGCACACGTGAGGTGGGAAATCCTCCATCACTTTTAAGGACCTTCGCTGCTTTGTGTTTTACAAGTAGGGATGTCCAGGAGTAACCTCTCACCATCAGCATAGAGAATTGACAACTCAGCTCTGTGAGATCCAAACAGTCACGGCAAGGAGTAAGTGAGGAAGGAGGATCGGTCCCTGTGCTGCCTGATGGAAAGGCCGCCGTAGCATCTGTCCCTCAGGCTCCGTGTCTTATGAACTTATTTAATTTCACCCTGTCCTCCACTCCAACCCTAATGAAGGTCCTCTCTGTGTCCTGGAATCCTGGCAGTCCCTGGCCACTCCTAGCCTGGGGCTCTTCTGAAACGGACTTGAGAGAGATGTATCCCCTGAGCTGTCTGTATAGCTCAGGCTAACATTGGCCTTGCCTTCTCTTCTCTTGCAGGAAGGAAGGCCTCCTGCTGGACAGGGATCAGGTGCACTCCAGGTCCATCCTGTCCACAGGCTTCCACCCAGCCAGCCTCCCACTGCTTCTATTGCCACCCCCACCCCCGCCCCAGCACCCACCCTAGCCCTGGATCTCCGACACACAGAGAACCGGCTAGCTCCATTAATGCTGCAGTGACTGGTAGCAGCTATCCCACTCCACTTTGAGTAGAAGGTGCTGGCAAATGCCTCGTGTGGTTGGTTCCTTAAATTACCTCAACCCTGGGAGGTGATGTCTTGTGCTATAGTCGGAATATTGAGTATCCCCCGAATTCACATGGTGAAACCTAAGCCCAAGTGTGGTACTGTCGGGAAGTGGGACATCTGGGAGACAACTGGGTCAGAAGAACAGAGGTCTTTCAAAAGGGACTATTGCTGTCCTTACAGAAATGGCTGAGGGAACATTTTTGCCCTTCTATGAAGTGGGGACACATGAGAAGGTGGCACCATGAACCAGAGAGAGAACTCTCATTAGACATTGAATCTGCTGGCCCTGATCTCAGGCTTGCCTGCCTCCACAACTGTGAGCAGTAACTTTTGGATCTTTATGAGGTACCCACGTTAGCTCTAACAAACTATAGAAGATGAAATTTCCTTTGACTCAGTGAGGTCAAGCTACTTGCCTAGAACACAGAACTCATCTGCAGCCAAGATTGAAACCAGGGGTGGACAGGCCATCTGGATAACTTCTGCCCGCATGAGAAACAAGAAGGCTGTGGATCAAATCCCCCAGCAGGTCTAGCTCCTCGATGATGGGGAGCCTGGGCATGGCTGAACTCTATTGCCTCTCATAGTCAGATGGCGTTCCAAAGTGGCGACTTCACAAACCAGTGAAGGACTAAAGAGAAGATGTGCATCACATGCAAGGCACACAGAAGACTCTTCACAAATACGAGCTGCCTTCTATCAACTATGTCAATCAGGCCACTGCTTATTAGCTCAACAATACACAGCCATAAATCAATTAAATCTTCAGGACTGTAGGCGGCCAGCATACCAGGCAAATGTTCTTCCTGTATACAGAACAGCCTGTTTTCATCTGGAAAAATGGACCCGGAGAAGCAGAGAGGAAAATAAACACAGAGGCGGATGCCTTACAGCCTTAGCTTCAGTTTCAGAAAATCTGGGAAAGATAAACACAGGTGGGCACAGTCGCTGAGTAATGGCTCTCTCCTGAATGTGAATTAGTAACAGAAAAAGTAATAGGTGGCCTCTGGCCAACCACAGAGTAGCCAGAAGGAAAAAGAGTTTCTAGCCTTAATTCTCTGACTTCTTAAAGTCCTCATAAACAATACAAAGGGCCAAATCAATTAAGGAATTGCTGTTGAATTTAGGGACTCATTCGAAAGAAGGGATGGGAGACGGA